GAACCAGGGAGTCAGTGGCTGCTACCTTTTGCCGTTAATCCTGGCAGTGGGCACAAGGCAATAGCATTTCAACATTTATTCTTCTTCCTTTAAGGAGCCTTAAATGACAACTGACTTTCTCTGTTCACTGAGGAGCAGTAAGTGAAACAGTGAGATGACAAGAACGCAGCTTTCTCACATTAAATAGTTCACCTTAAGGTACCTACTGTTTATATGAGCTCATAGGTTCTACTATATTTATAGTCACATTGTATGACTGATGCAGCACCTGACTTGTTTCCATTGTGTGTGCAGGGTATATAGCCCCAGGTGCAGGAACACCATGGCTCAGGTGAGCCACTGGCAGGACAAACCTCATATGCAGACATGTTTCACTTGCTTTGCTCACTATTTTTGGTAGCAAAGATAGTTTAACTTACCAGTATTGAGCCCATGCATTCTAAGTGTTTTCTTGTCATTTTAAGATTAAGTCATTGTTTTCAGTAATGGTCTGTCTAGATGCAGGGAGCTGTATCTTTTAGCATGATGAATACTTAGCTGTACCTGTTCTGGCATGGCAATGGCATCTTGTTGATGATAATAACCTCTCTCTCCCTTTCCACAAAAAAATTTGACCAATACCTTGGACTACCTTTCAGAAAAGTAGGAACAAAAATAAGACCCAGACAAAGCAAAGGTTAGCAAGTCATTTCTCATTCTGTTTTTAGATTTTCTCTGGTGTTTATGTACATGCTAACTTAAAAACCTGTTAATATTCTTACACAGAGCTTGAATCCTTTTGTCTATCTCAGTTTTACTTTTTTACTCTAAGCCTCTGGTATTCATTACTCTATTGTTTGGTGCAGAGCCAGGCTTCGGAGTCCAAGAAGGCCATTTTCCAAACTATTAAAGTAAGAGTTAATCTAGCTTTTGTAAAGCCACATGCATTTCCCTGCTTTTCATTTTGTTTCCAAATTTAGCCTTGCAAATGGAGCATTGGGACTGTAATTGCTGAGATTTCTTCTCCCGCACCTACGCCAAAGGTCGAAGATGAATCATTGTCTTTCCTGGATTAGCTTGGGGCCTGGCAAGCCTAGTGATTCAAAGAGAAGTCTCCATAGACATTATCCGTATTTTTTAAGACCTGCTGACACAGGTCTGGGTTGTTTTCTAGGAGGTTAAGCTGCTTAACTGGTCTCTGAATTATGACAGCTGACCAGGAGTAATGGCCTAATTAGAACCAGTGATCATGAGGTGTAGTCTGGTAGTGAAAAGGAGAGGAAGAGGGAGTATGAACCCTATGAACAAGAAGAAATTGTGCTTTCTGTAAGTGGAGATGCAGAGAGATGCTGCATGGGAACCAGGGATTAAAGACCATAAAGGAAGCATGGAGTTTTAAAGGCAAGGGAAAGGAGGCATTTATGGAGAGCAAGAGGGTGGTCATAGGATGGCAGTATTAGTCAGAAAAGAGAAGAAATAGTTTGCACAATAAGGAGTAAAACAGACAGAACAGTCTCAGCTATAGGTCGCATGTCATGCTGAACTGTGGGAATAGGTTAAATGCCCAATCTGACTTCCAATTTTTAATTTATGAGAGAAAGCATATTGCAATTAATTCCTGCTGTAAGCATCAAAATGCTTTTGTAGTTGTAGCAGTGTATGCATGGATCTGGGTTTATTTTGGTTTTGTTTAATCTCACTAATATTCTAGGAAGGGCATTCTGGTGTTGTACCTGTTACATATGAAATTCCCTGAAGTCTTTATAGGTGTCTTCTATTGTGAGATGCTTTGGAAGACTTGAGGAACTGAGTATAGATCATAAATGTTTACCTGAATTAATGTCTTTCTTTTTAAAGAATGAGAGAGTAGTTTAGGTCCCAACACATCCTCAGTGTACTTGTTTTACATACACTCTATGGTGAAAGGTCCTAATTTATTAATCTATTGATTGAATCTTAGATGAATATCTCATGATATTCATCTATCCTTTCTATTAAAGCTATTCTGCAAGTGATGCAGTCCACTGGATTATGGGATTGAGAGTTCTGAATAGAATTTGGGGAAGAATTTCTTTATTTAAAGCTGATAATCAGGTAAATTCCAAGAAAATAGTCCTAGGTGTCTCTTCTTAGTCCTGTACGCTTATCATTTACCTGGCTCTATGCACGTAGAGCTCTTCTCAAAACAGGCGTTTTTTCATTAAGGGTTTAATCTGACACTGATTTGTACCAAGTAATACCTTACTGACAATTGATATCATACAGAAGGTTGACAGACTGGGTTTTAAATTAAGATAAGAACAAGAAGAGATTGCAGAAAAGAAAGAAGAACTACTAGAAAAAGAAAAAGGCAAGAATTAAAAGTTAAGATCACACAGTCATTTGGGATTTCAGTCACCTTGAGTTACAAAATGTTCTTTTACTCATACGGTTTTAATTGGAGTGTTAAACAGTTTAACAAGAACAGTTCATGCATAAGTCTTTTTAAAGAAATGAATTTTGAAAGGCCATGTAATGACAGAGCTTGTAGTGAGAATGCAAAAGAAACTTTATTAATATGGGACTAGGCAAAGTGATACACATAAGTTGCCTTCTAGGTGTTTGGGCAGTGGATTTCCTTTTTTTTTTTTAATCTTTTAACCGTCTTGTATTATGAGTCCTTCTTAGACGTCACCATTCAGCTTTCTATGTGCAGTTTCAGACTTTGGTTCCTGGATCCATCTGTGCTGGTTTCCTACCATCAAAAAGTGTTTCTAAATCAGTTAGTTCATTTCTGGTATTTGTATTTGTACCCTAATGGATATGAGTATGCAACTCGTGTACATTACTGTCACTTAGCATTGAAAGGACTTAACACATCAGCCCTGAGGCTAGGAATTCTTTTGTATGACAGCAGTTGTGGGAATCACTGCTCATTTTGCCACTGTGCTATATGCCAGCAATGCTAACATAATCCACCTGGGTGGTTTTTAAAGGAATGCTGTTTCTTGCATATCGATATAATTTACAAGTTAAATCTGTATTTCAAACAAGCAAAATTAAATCTTGTGCATATTACATCCACCTCTTTAACACTTTATCCTTCCTTTCTGGATTCTGGCTTCATGTTTATGAATTGCAGGTCTTCCTAATGCTTCCACACACAGATCTCCACCTGAAAAGCTCTGTTCTCCATCTGTCTCTTGTGTTTTCACAGTTGGCTTACTTGGATCATTGCTTGCTTCTTATTTGCTTAATTATTTGAGGTTCTGAAATATTTCTGATTGTTTATCTTAGGGGAGTTGTTGCCAACCCATTTTATAATGTCACTGCAGGAAAGCTTTTGCAAAGGGAAGGGCTTGTGTTTCCTTTGGTGAATGAGCTCTGATTTCTGTAGCCAAGGGAGTTCTGCAGTTGAAGACTTTATTGAGTGTCCTATCCCCAACTCAATTAGCTCTACCTTCCATTTAGATGGGTCCAGCAGCCTATGGATCATGACACCTAAATATACATGCTCTTTTACCTAAAAACTGCAAACACAAAGCAACCATGCAAAAGTTTATCTGACCAGACCAGAGAACTCCATTTGGAACATGGTTAGACACAGGCAAAATAATCCCTGGTGTAATCTCACTGGCTCAGATGGAGTTGCAACATAAGTTAATGTAGGTACATTTTGCTTCCTCTAAAAATCAATATGAGGAGAGAAAAGAGGCCACAAAGAGCTTCACAAATAGTTATGTTCAAAAAAAGCTCTACAGAACTAAGGGAGCAGGGAGATGAGGGAATGGTGTATTAGGTAAGAATATTAACTCTGCACCTTTTCTTTGCACTGGGATTGTTTTACAAGTATGGCCTTCAAAAATCTGACTCCTATTAACATCTTTATAATTTTCCTTTCTTTTGGCCAAAACACAAGGTCTTTGACCATTTGTAATTTTACATTGTTACCGTGTACGATTAACATTTAAAAATACCTAATTGTTTAATGCTGACTAGTGTGTATTCTGTCTCAGCTACCGTGCTGTTAGCAAGAAAGAGATATGTAAATGCAAAACATATAGAACATTTTACAAGAGCTTAGGTTAATGGACATTATTCCATTGAGGACTTTTTTTTGTTTTCTTAAATAATACTTTACTATAATAATCTGGAAATAAGACTGTACGTGCAGCTTCTACTACTTAAGTGATCAAATGTAGCGTTTTTTTCTGAAGATGCCAACCCTGGTACTAGTGAAGAAAGGAACTTAAATAAGGCAAGAAAGAGTTCCCTGTGTGTTCATGAGCTGACTTGCAGTAACTGGGAGTCTGATGGTAAATGAAGGACACTCATCTTATGAGATGTAGAAACTGACATATTACTTTAGTTTTTTGATCCTGAGAGAAACTGAATTCATCTGCTTCCAAGGATGTGCAAGGAACTTCTTACTACCTGATAGTTTCACCTGTTGGCCAGATGCTTTTCTTCAGTTCTGAGAGAATCTAGTGGACAGGGGCCCAAAAAATAAGCAAGAGAGAGAAGCAGACCATGAATGAAATAAACTGGCCACACACCAGCACAATCCTGTGCGGATGATGAGTTCCCACCACTGAAATCACCTTCTTACCTGAGTTTCCTACCTTACTTCCTCGAAGAACCTTTGGCTGTTAATGGGGCTGATGGAAGTGAAAAGTCCAGCAAGTGTATTAGGACATATTTTATATTGAAACTTAGGAGACTGTTAGAGAATGAATGACACAGATGTCCATGGAATACAAAGGTAAGGGAAAAAGCTGGATGTGGTATGGGGTATGATTGGTTAAAAGAAGCCAGGACTGGGAGAGCAAGGATGATACATTCATTTAGTCTGTCCGGTTTAGCTCAGAAGATGATGCTGTCCATGTTAAATAAACTGTTGAAAAGAAATACTCCTTGTTAGATGAACAGTAATCAAAATTAGAGAAATGTTTACCAGTAATATGTAAAGACGGACTGTTAAGAAGAGCTTATTTGGACATAATATTCTAAAATTTTTTTCAATTTGTTTGTGGATTCCACAGCTGCCATCATCCCCAGAATTACCTTCAAAGTGAGCAAGCAAGCTAGCTTACATTTTCAGCAAAACCAGAGCAACCATTGTAAGTATATGGCTATAATCTGACATACAAAACTCATGCCATTTAAAAATGAGAACAGTTTTTAATGATGAAATGAGAAAGGGTTGTGTGGTGGAAGATCAGGGTGGAAAGATCAATCCTCTGAATGTTTATGTCTTGTCCTTAATGCAGTTGTGAGATGCCCAGATCTCTTTTCTTGATGCAAAGCGGTAGCTGTTTTGCAAATCAAATACTAGTTTGTCCTTTCTGCTAAGAGTAGAGTTGGTCATTATTACTAAATACATACAGCTTTTTTGTCCTAGTAAAAGTTTCATCAAATATGTTCCATATTCTTGTGCTGGATAAATTGGTGAAGGACTTGAGTTCTGTAACAGTGCTATGAATTGTCTGACTTACTCCGATAAAGGTTTTCTTCTTACACACAAGAGTGATTTCCATCTGTTTAAGCTGGTCTAAGTTCACAGGGCCATGAGAGATGATGATGGCCTTCAGCTCCCCTACCTGTGCTGGTAATAGCACCTAGGGTCAGGGAACCCATTTAATCAAAAGCTAATGGGTTTTTTATAGGTTGGGGTTGGATGTATTTTATTTTTTCCTCCTTCAGAGCTGGTCTTCAGTCAGGTCAGGTCAGTTTTTGAATCTGGATGATGCCATGCCCAAGTAACCATACTGTTGCCAGAGATAGGGAAGCAGTGGGATCATGCAGGCAGGGAAAGTAAAGGCTCATCTTTTCAACAGCAGCATTACTGTAGTTCGTTTTTAACCAATTTTGATGCTCTACATTAAAATATGCCCAACAGATGTTTTGCATTTCTGCCTAATGCAGCATATGGAGACAGGACTACCATTATTTTGATATGTCATAAACTTTACTGCATATGGACCAGACCTTAGCTGACATTTAATTAATTTGTACAGCTGATACATATATTGTGCATCTCTGATGTCTGGTTAGAAAAAATCCATTTATTTTATGTATTTCAAGACATTAAAATAAATATGCCATATTCTGTACTAAAATGACTATCTGAGGTGACATCAATACTTTTTGTTCTGTCTACGAGTATATAACATTTTTAGAAACTTGGGGTTTTTTTATAGAGAATAAAATATAGTGTGTAGGGAGTTGTAACGACAGTTTCATCAGAATATTTCTTAATCTTAGGTTAATTTTGCCACCAAAGCCCTAGGAAGGAATTAATTTTGTCTAACTTTCAGTAGTCCCTTTTATTATTTCCCTGCAATAAATATTATTGTCCTTTGTAAATGGATTTGAGACAGATTTCAAGTTCCAAGACATTTGATAAAATATTTACTAGGACATGATTAAAATTATTATAATTGTTCTGGACAAAATCCTCCAAACTATTGAAAAAGCAAGACTTGGAGACAGTTCACAGAATCATGGAATCAACCAGGTTGGAAAAGTCCTCTGAGGTCATCGACTCCAACCCATGACCCAGCATGACCCTGTCAACTAGACCATGGCACTCAGTGCCACATCCAGTCTCTTCTTAAATACCTCCAGGGATGGTGACTCCACCACCTCTCTGGGCAGCCCATTCCAATGTCTGATCACTCTCTCTGTAAAGAATTTCTTCCTAATATCTAACTTAAACCTCCTCTGGCACAGCTTAAGATCATGCCCTCTTGTCCTATTGCTGATTGCCTGGGAGAAGAGACCGACCCCCACCTGGCTACAACCTCCTTTCAGGTAATTGTAGAGAGTGAAGAGGTCACCCTGAGCCTCCTCTTCTCCAGGCTAAACAACCCCAGCTCCCTCAGCCTCTCCTCATAGGACTTGTGCTTGAGTCCCGTCACCAGCCTCGTTGCCCTTCTTTGCACACTCTCCAGCCCCTCAGTGTCCTTCCTAAACTGAGGGGCCCAGAACTGAACACAGCACTCCAGGTGCGACCTAACTAGTGCTGAGTACAGGGGCAGAATCACTGCCCTGGTCCTGCTGGCCACACTGTTCCTGATCCAGGCCAGGATGCCATTGGCCTTCCTGGCCACCTGGACACACTGCTGGCTCATGTTCAGCTTCCTGTTGACCAGCACCCCCAGGTCCTTTTCTGTTGATGCTCATTTTCCAACCACTCTTTCCCAAGCTTGCAGCACTGCATGGAGTTGTTGTGACCCCCAAGTGCAGGACCTGGCACTTGGCCTTGTTGAACCTCATACCACTGGCCTTAGCCCATAGATCCAGCCTGTCCAGATCCCTCTGAAGAGCCTTCCTACCCTCCAACAGATCAACACTTTCACCCAGTACAGTGAAGGCAACTGTTTTAAATGAGTCTTGATCAACTTATGGAAATATAAGTGTATAACCAGAAGATAATGCTTCTGACACAATTAATTTTTGTGGTGGGTCCCTGGTTATCTGACTTTGTTTTCCCTTGGACCTATCTAAGAGAGAGGTTATCTTCCTGGACAGCAAGGTTGTCTTCCTTGAAAGGAATCTGAATAACTGGTTTCTTTGAGGATTTATATGGTATTACTCTTATGCACCAGGACTTCCTGTTGTTTTTCTGTGGATCAGAAGGGATTTTTCCTGTCTCTTTCTCTTCATGCCAGTGAGGCACAGTGCTGTTGCAGCTGATGGCTGTCTCAAGACTTGTTTGCCTACTGTTGTCCCTGAGTCAGGTAGAATGGGTGCAACTAGAGAGGAACTGAAATCATAGCATATGGGTGCTCCTTGTGACACTGACCTGTTAAGTACCTGGTTGATGTGATTTTGTTTAGACAGTCATTCATTGTCTTATTTAGACTCAGCAGGAAATTTGCTCTGAGAATGGTACGGCTGTTTATTGTTTGGTTTTGTGGATTTTTTTTTGTTTGGGTTGGGTTTTTTTGGCTGATTGGTCTGGGTTTTGCAGTACTCTGTAATATAAACCATGAACCTTTTCAGGTCTGCTCAAAGTATTTTCTAAATAATCCAGTGCCATTTCATGGATCTTTTAATCTTTTCTACTCTCTTCCTTTGGCACATTAAATTTCTGTGGTGTTTTTGCATTTGTGTGTGTGTGTTTCTGTCTGTGAAATACATGATTTATGATGCTGTGTGGAAAAGATGTTGTGAATAAGATATCTGTAGTACTCTTGCCCGTGACTGTGGGAAGCTAGTCTCACTGGCCTAACAGGAGATTTGTCTGGCTAAAATTTACCTGCTGTAGACATTGAACTCTACCACCTCTCCTTACACTCGTAAGCGAAAAAAAGATGAGCCTCTTCTGTGTGGAGTATGGAGATAAAAAGGTATTTCCTTCCATCACCTGCCTTCCTCCCCACCCTTTGTTAGTTCCCTCCAACAGGAGTACTGTGTTTCTGAATCTGTGGGGCGAAAAAGGGTAGTAATTTAGAGGCAAATACAGGATCACACTTTACCTGCTTCACATCTTTGATTTGTATGTTTATAGAATTCTTGCAGAAATGAGTACAAAATCATGCTGTGTTAATTGTTGAGGGGGTCTCCATCACAGCCATAAGAATCAGAGGTTATGGGGGAGCCTTGGCCTGAGCTCCCTTCTGGACTGGGGGTTACCTTGGCATCCTCCACAGTACTTTGAAGAAGGCACAGGGAAAGCAAGCTACATGGGGATTTTCCCAAACAGCTTCCAGCAGTTTTAGCTGTGATAGGGGATAATCAGTGGCTGTTAAAAATCTGAATGCAAAAAAAAAACCTCTGGCTGAGATTTGACATCATCTTTCTGAATGAGGGCTAAGCAGAGAAATACTGGCTTTGATCTTATAAAAATATGGAGGCTGGAGGCTGGCTTTTAACTGAAGGCATTCAAACTGTATAATTCCCCCAACATTGTGTAGCAGACACTTGTCACTTTATAAAAGTGGTAAATAATCCTATTATGTGCTATAGTTGAATTTATAAAGACTGAGTTACGGACCTAATTGAAACCTGTTTATTCAGAAAAGCACAAACTGTATTTTGAAATGAAGTCTGCACAAGCTGGAATCTGAATCCACAGAAACAGATACTGCATATTGGAGTGAGCAAAGCTTCTGTTGAATCATACTGCATAATGTACTGAACATAATGTGTTGTATAAGGAGGTGTTGTATTCAGTGGTCACCAGTCAGCTTATAGCCCCGTCAGGGGTTTCCTAGACTAAGTGAACTTTATTTGAGAAGTTTATCTTTTTTAGATACAAATCACAGCAAGAATATTGGATTAAATTGTGGCATATAATGCATTAAAGGTTGGAAAATATTCTAGTACTTTTAAAAATGTCTAAGCCATCCTTGCTCTGTAAACTACTTTCCAGTGATTGATGGCAGGTGGTATGGGGTTGTTAGCTGATGGAGGCCTTAAATAGAACACCAGACAACTTCATGTATACCTGACGTTGGAAGGCAGGGCTTATCAGCAGTTCTGTCTTCTTTTCTGAGGAAAGGGCGTATGTAGTATAGTATAGGAAGTATAGATATTAGGAAGTTTCATTTGTTACTTGTTAATTGTCAGACCTGAACAAACTTCAAACACAGATGGGGAATCCAGTCCCAATTGCTTAAACAGAGGCAAATGATAGTGTAAACTTCTGTGTGTAGTTAAAACTGTCCTGATAATCAAAGGCATGAGGTGCATGCAGTATTCATTTACTTCCTTTGTCAGTACTCAAAATTGCTTCTGATTTAGGAATTTAAATATGAAATTGTTTTACTAGAATTTATTTTGAGTCATTCTTCGTACCTTTTTGATTAGTCACACTTTACTTTTTGCTCTGTCTTATGTTAAGTTTCCGTGCTTTGTTTGGTTTTGGTTTTTGGTTTGGTTTTTTTTTTTCCTTTGGATGGGCCTTCATACCTTGTGACTTTTTAATGTCTTCTTAGGGTAACATAGCTATGTTCTTTTCTCTCAGTTTTCACCTGTTGTCTGCCTTGACAGCCACCATTATCTGTCTCTTTTCTCTCATGATTCTTTGCCACACCATGAACAACAGTTTTGACGTAATGTGGACTAAAATGGCAGTGACAAAAGATAACTTGCTTTTATATCCAGAACAAAC